TAATTTACGCTCATTTTGTGGGAGTATTTCTGTATCGCATAGTAAACGCCATTTAAAACAGTGATTCACTTTGTATTGCATTTCTGTGAATGAATTGTAAACACAATTCAATCCATTAGTAAATCAAGTAATAGTCGCCCGAAAACCCATACACACGATGTCTGTATTAGTCTACGGCCAGGGCGTGCTCTACACGGTGACCCTGTTCATCGTGCTATGCATAGCCCTGTTCTATATGCTGACGGGTAGGGGCCGTAGGGCAGGCGATATCGCGTGGCTTCTCGAGGGTATGTCGGCTACCGGCGCGCCCGTAGTGGTGGCCAATCACACACTCATTCATACAACCTATGGTCACATGACTAACACGTGCTCTCTGTCTGTCACTATTAACAGGTATATCGCCGTACATGTGGTGCGCGATGGGCATCGGACTGTCCATATCGTTGTCAGTGGTGGGCGCCGCCGTCGGCATATTCACGACGGGGGTGTCTATAGTGGGCGGCGGTGTGAAGGCGCCCCGCATTCGCACCAAGAACTTGGTGTCCATCATATTCTGCGAGGCGGTCGCCATTTACGGCATCATTATAGCCATCGTTATGCTGAACGGCATCGACGAGTACGACCCCCAGCGCCTGGTGGCCAGCGAGTCCATTAAGGCCCGCATCTACCTGTCCGGGTATATCATGTTCGGCGCCGGCATTACGGTGGGCTTCGGGAACCTGTTCTGCGGGCTGGCCGTGGGAGTGGTGGGCTCGGGTGCGGCGCTGGCAGACGCCGCCAATCCCGCCCTCTTCGTCAAGATATTGATAGTCGAGATATTCGCGTCGGCTATCGGTCTGTTTGGGCTCATTGTGGCCGTCATACTGAACGCAAAGGTCCATATGTCCGATAAAGCGTAGGACTACCGGCGCTGTCGTCGAACATCCCATTCCATCGTTGCATACCATTTGAAGGCCTGTTTTTGCCGCTCCCGAAGAGTTGTTGGCCACAAAATTTAGGATTATTTGTGTTTTTTTTAATAAATTGTTTATTTAATTACTATTATTATGATTATGATTATGATTACGATTAGAGATAATTCTGTTTTTAATTTAATTTAAGTTTTGATTTTGTTTTTTGAGTTTTCCTTTTCAATGCCGGCGCCCGATATGTACTGTTTATGTGTGTATCGGATCTCATATCTAACGTGTACTCAAGAACTACTGTATAATGTATTATAAAAATATTAGTTTTTAATTATAGTTA